TTTCACTCGACATAGAAAATGAAATGAATTGATTACGTTAGCTTGTGGGTGATAGTCACCAGCATGATCAATGTAACACATACAGAATAAATAGAAAGCTCACTCCTTCATGAAGTAGTAGCCGACCAAGTTGTCCTGAGCGATAATAGAAGTTTCATAGTTAGATCATCTGCTTCAGAGGATTGAACAACGTCATATTATATATATATATATATATATATATATATATATATATATATATATATATATATACCACTCTATCTTTAGGAAACTGAACTATTGACCCAATGAGATGCATTTGAGCTTTAGGTGACTTCTAATTGCCACCAATTAATCTTTTCATTAGGCTACTTCTGAATGACTCTCCATATCATAGCTCTTTCATGCTAGTTTCGTATTTCTTGATAAAACATGTATCCTCATGTATTGAACAATTGGCCTATGGCTTCTCTTGATGATAACATAATCAGAAGAGGGTTTTGTGAAATTCATGAGTCAACTGAAACTAAACCACCATGGAAAACCTGGAAGCACTCGATGGCCGTCTCGCCCAAGTATGGGAATCCTCAGCAGTGCGCATCCACGATTCTGCCTCACGAGATTCAAACCTAGAGTATTTCAGTCTCGCGCACGAACGCTTAACATCTAGACCACTTAGCCGGCTGAAATCCAATAATGTTAATATTTAACTTCAACCAATTGGGCCACTGTCTACCACTGCCATCAGTGAGTTACTATCTCTCAACAGACCTGGTTGATTTCCACTGGTCATTGCTTCTCACTAGAACTCCATAAAATCCATCTTGAAGCCAGTCACCAATGAACAAACGATAATTATTATCAGAAGAGAGTTATAATGTTGCGGGCGGCATCGTGGCTGAGCACTTCTCAGGAGCTCCATACCAGGACGAAACGATCATCCAATGCTTCCAGGTTTTCTATGGTGGTCTAGCTTGAATTGACTGATGAACTCAACCAATAGATAACAAAATCTTTAGATTATTTAGTTAGATCATAATAGTTTGTATCATTCATTTCAATTAATTAGTAACCTAATACCGGTAAAACAGTTGAAATGTATGATATTCAAGTAATATGCATTCTTAAACTATCTTCTATGAAAAAAATCCATTGTAGAGCAGCTAACACTTTAAATATAAACCAAAAATGTAATAAATGTTATGTTGTTAAGGCTTGCACAAAAATCTCAATAACGAATCAACATAAATCATTCACTTATTCAACAAATAAGACAATACCTTTTCCTAACCACAAAGGGAGGTGTTCACTAATTTTTTCTCCACAGTCATGTAATGGATAGAAACAAGTCGTATTCCCACTAGTTTCCCTTATGGTATTCGATCTCGTCTCTTACACATAGCAAAATATGACAATATCTAAAGGTACTAGGCATAATAGACTTACAACGCCATTGTAACTGACTTCATCCTATCTTTTATACGATTATTATTATTATTACTAACATCAATGGGAAGATTCAAGTAACAGAATACCAAGTGAATTAAACTTCACCCCATTGCACAAGCAAGCGGCTTTCAGGACTCAGTAGATAAGTGGATAACGCGATGGCGTTTGAAGCAAATGGTACTGGGTGCGAGTCCCAGAGTGAACATCAACTCTGAGATGCAGGTACATCCAGCTGACGAGTCCCAAATGGGACGAAACGCGCGTCCTGTATTCCACTGCTAGCCACTATCCATCTTTGCTTATTATTATTATTATTATGACAGGGTCTTTTTTTTAGTAGAAATCATTCAATTGAACCACTAACTTTGATTGTCCATTCCAAGTCAATTTATAACATGAAATTTTATCATAAATTTATTGATAAAAATGACAAAATTTTATCCTGGAAATATAGAAATATAATCAGTAAAATATTTTCATTGTTTAAACAAGAATTAATCAGCACCACCATCATCATCATCATCATCATCATCAGCGGCAGCAGCATCATTATCAACATCAGCATCAGCATCGTCATTATTTACAACATGTCCGAACTTGAATTTATAATAAACAAACAAATTATGGCTTATTATTACTATTACTATTGTTACTAATGTTATTACTGTCATTATTATTATTATTATTATCATTATCACTACTATTACTATTACCAATATTATTATTATTATTATCGTTAGTTTGTATATGCCAATGTGTAATTCCATGCTCTGTTCTTATCATCTGAAATATATAAGATGAAATGTTAATGGTTTTGTAGGCTAAAGAAAATAATAATAAACTAAATGACGCCATTTCTTACATCTTCACAATAAGTACCGTCTTTATTGTATCATCTCTCTTTGTTAATCATCAATATAGATTGACAGTAATAACAAGTGAAAACTAGTAGTAGTAGTAGTAGTTGTTGTTGTTGTTGTTAGTCATTAAGTTAAGAAATCACATTTTGACAGGTCAATTCATTTATTCACAATACAAGGTAATTGTCAGTTTGTCATTCGTGATAATGATAATAATGATAATAATAACAGTAATGATATAAAAAGATAATGTTATATCTTGTGACCGCCGTTTGAGTGAGCAGTGACTTATCGATTGGATCAAAGACGCGTAAAACACGTGCGAACAGCCTAAAGATCTGATGGGCTCTGCTTTCCGCCTAGCCAAACCAGTTAAGTCCAGAACACAAGTCTCAGCCTCTGAGATATGAATCATTATATTTCAAACATACTGAGTTTATATATCGATCAAATAGACCACAGTGTACCAATAAAATATGAAACAACATTTGTACAAGAATTAGCCAGATGTAGCTGTGAATGTGAGAGGTAGTAATCAATATACTGGTTATAACTCAACAACGTAACAGTTTATAGGTTAAAATAAAATTCATAATAAGAGGGACATGAATATGAATAGTTTAGTTACTTGGTAATTATACAATAAAAATATACGTTTAGTATTGGTCCATAAAAGAATCCCAAGTTACTATTCATTATGTTTCTCGGGTCCCAACAGATAATGACAGTATTGGGTAAGTATATTAACCAAATATTATGAAAGAATTAAAAAAATGATTCCAAATAGAAAATCGGTTTCTTCAAGAAATAACTTTTTCGTTCGTGAATATTCCTTCATCATCATCATCATCATGTTTGAAATTTATGAGACAAATTCATTCCCAACTCTTCTGTTCTTAAGGTGTTTACACGCATATGTGTGTCAATTTTTACAAATAAGTAGAATGTTTGACATACTTTTCTTAATAATGTAATAATATTAATCATGAAATACACTTGGTATTGTTTTTACTTAAATCTCCCCATTGATGTTTAGGACTGTAATTGATCAGTCTCTTATTGGTATATGTGCATTTTGCGCGTATTGCCTCTATATCGTCTTAATTCACAAGTATTATATACAAAGATGGATAGTGGCTAGCAGTGGTATTCAGGACATACGTTTTGTCCTATTTGGCTATCAGGACTAATTAGGTAAGTGGATAACGAGATGGAGTTTGAAACGAACGGTACTGGGTTCGAGTCACAGAGTGAACAACAACCCTGAGATATAGGTGCATCCAGCTGTTGGATGTTGAATAGGACGAAACATGAGTCCTGGATTCCACTACTAGCCACCATCTATCTTTGCTTATAATAATAATAATCATTATTATTATTATTATTGTTAATATCCAACTTATATCATGTGAAATTGGCATGTATAAAAGTTGTAACTAAAATACAAAAAACAAACAAACAAACAGAAATGAAGCAACTTTCATTTTAGTCTGCTTTTAACAAAATATTTCTAGTAATCTAAAATACCCTTGTTTGACAAGAAACATTTTCATGAAACATGGGTGTCACCTTTACTTCTTCTTCTTTTTTCTTGTTGTTGTTGGAAAGTATAAATAAGTTACTATCTTAATCATAATAGATGTCATATTCATTGTATAAAGGAAAACACTTAAAAGTACTTGGTAAAATAAGATTTCTCACTTAAAATTTAGAAAAGGTTGAAGTATATGAAATATAGGTAGTCAGTACAATGTTTTATTACTTTTTTCGGGGGGGGGGTGTTGTAGCAATTCTTGAATGTTTATAGTTTTGTAGACTAAATCAATGTATGACTGTTTCACTCTAGTGAGGTAATCCGGCAAATTATTTCAGAAGTTCTTGTAAAAAGTCATTATTAGTTAAGCTTGACTATATCAAACGTCAGAAAGATATCATTAATGATAATAAAAGATGGCAAAGTTAAGTTACGAATTGATTTAGGTTAGACATGTACATGATTGTTGGTTTTGAAAGATAAGTGCTTTTAAAGAGAGATCAATAATTTATCAATGCGATCTATGATGAAGTAGTGAACGGTCACGGATGATCAGTACGATAGTAGGCCAAACAGTTAACCAAGCTATCCTGATTTCCAAGATATATTGAAGAAATGTATTAAATCCTAGATAGTATTTTTCTCAATCAGCTATATGATATCATTACAATTCGATTAATAATAAACATTTTCACAGGTTGAAATCATGGGTCAATTGAAGCTAGACCACCATGGAAAACCTGGAAGCACTGGACGGCCGTTTCGTTCTAGTATGGGACTCCTCAGCAGTGCGCATCCACGAACCCGCTTCCCGTGGGACCCGAACCCAGGACCTACTGGCTTCGCGCGCGAGCACTCAGCCATTAGATCACTGAGCCGGCATCCAACGGTGTTAATGTCTAACTTCTAAAATCTCCACAAAACTCATTCTGATAATAAACATTTTATTAAAAAGGCACGCATATGGGTAAAATTGACATGAATAATTGGGTTATTGAAACTAGTGTAAAGCAAATGAAGTTACCTTCCAAGGTTCGGTTAGTTTCAATGTGAGGAATGAAAAAAAACCATAAACAGAATAACTCCCCAATACTCCTTTACTTTAAATCTTTCTCTCGCTGATTTTATTTCGTAATATATTGATTTTTAATTGCACAATTCTTCATTATTTATTCTAGGAATTTATCGATTTATCATGGAACATTTTCCATATTATCGTGATAATCGTCAAGGTTGGCAAAATTCCATAAGACATAATCTTAGTTTAAATGATTGTTTTATTAAATTACCACGTGATAAAAGTCGACCAGGAAAAGGGAATTATTGGACATTGTCTACGAATGCCGATGAAATGTTTGAACATGGAAATTATCGGTAAGAATAATAATGATGATAATAATTATTCATAAAATTGTTTTTCTTATATTGATCAGTGTTAATATTGTACCACTGAATGTTAACCAAGTGGTTTATGACTTGAAGTTCGTGGAATCTATTTATGATGGAGGAGGAGAGGGCATATATTCACTACCGTTGAGCTTTATATTAAGAATGAACAATAATCAACCGATTTGTTGATTTGTAATAGTGCATCGAGTGAAATGAGTTTGTGATGAATACAACTTCTTCATTTTGTTGATAATTAAATTGCGCTTTTTATCATCGATCAGTTTATGCGTAGATTATTGTCCGTTTCATATTCTTCAATTCATTCACTTATTTGCTTGCTTACTTAATTACTTACTGTTACCCACCATCTCGGTCATGGACTATCCTTAGTAGTTGCTCCCATGTGTTATTTATCGACTGAATGTCCTCCTTCAATTCTCTGTGTAATATGTTCTTTGTTCTTTCTCTTCTCTTTTTGCCTTGAGAGGTTAAAGTCAGGGTTTGCCTCATGATGCAGTATGATGATTTTCTCGCTGTCTGTCGTATCCACCTGCAGGCTCATTTCCTAATTTCCCCATAAATAACAGCTGGCTTGTTTTCTGATAGAGTAAATTATCGTTGATAGTCTTTAGCCAATGACTTTGGAGTATCTTGCACAGACAACTATTTAAAAATATTCGCACTTGCTTAAAGATGGTTGTAGCAGTTCTCCTAGTCCTAGCACATTACGATGGAACTATTTTAACGTTTGTGCTGAAAATTCTGACGTTAGTGTTGGCTGACAGTTGATTTGAGTTCCAGATATTCTTCAATTACAGGAATACTCCCCTTGCTCTACCAATCCATGCCTTCCCAACTGCATCAGATCCTTATTGTTTATTTATGATGTTGAACACGTATGCAAACGCTTTCTCATCTTTCACAGATTCACCATCAAGTATGAGTTATTTTCTAATGGGTGTGTCCCATTCTAGGATCTTACTCTCTCTCACTCTCTCCCTTGTTGATATTGAAATCTACTGTTGTGAAAGCCACAGCTATATTGGCTATATTCACTTTCATATCCAAAGTGGCCATTGCATTCCATACTGCTCCTGTTATAAATCAAACATCCCATGCATGACCCTTCTTAAAGAAAACATAACAAAAATACACTAATAATAGCAGCAATTGTTAGGTGGTTTAAAGAATGAAAATAAATGTTGTCATTGACTAAAATGAAGCTGGGAAGATCAGTTAGTACTGATCAGTAAGGCTGTTTATAAACACAGTTGATAATAGTGAACACTGCAATGCAGAATGCTCATTTTATCCCATTTGGTTACATCGAGTTGACGATTTGTTAGTAGGAAGAAACTCGCTTAAAATGCTTGTCACTCAATGGTATCATTCAAGGCGATCTATACATGATACTCGTATACCAAATATGACTGATCAATTGCTGTCATGACCATCATTGGGAATATTCAGATAACCAATACAGATGAGTTAAGATAAATATTTCATCCTTATTCAAATAAATTCAAGGCGAGACTATAATTTATGAACGAACAAATCAGATTAATGTCAGCCAGTCATACGTTTCATAGTGAAATTTTATTCATTCATTGATAAGGCTAAATATCATTTTGGCATTCTAGACAATATAAGTTCATATTGAAAACACTATTTGTAACTCATAACTCTTAGTTCTGATGGTAAATCATGAGTGTTATATCTGACACAAGTTGATAACCCTCTTTACACCATAATCAGTAAGTGAACTTTCTCAAGATCATTTTGACCTTGTTCAAAAGTCACCCATATATTGTGATCTCATTGTCTTCTTCATTGTTCTAAAGGATAAAATAAACCTTTATCAATAGTCATTATTGTTTGTGTTGATGATATTGTTCAGAAGAATGATGAAAGCTCCACGATCAAATTATCCAGCTCACAGAACAAAACTCCATCTTTACCATCTCAAAATCATTTAATCCTAGTACGCTTCTCGTTGTTCGAAAATGAGAGAATTTCGCTTAAAGGCAGGCTTCCACTTGAGAACAGCTTTATATTCGCCGCGAGTGTCTTCGTCAGCATGTTGTACCAACAAGTGTAAGATACAGACCTCTAATCAACTGTCCAATGTGATGGAGAATAACTGAGTAAACGTTTATCAATAGTCCTTATTGTATGTTCTTTTCTTTAGATTGTATGATTCTCATGACTTCCTGTAACAAATACCGATGAATATATCAATGAAATTAGTTTAGTATGTGAGACTACAAAATAGTTTCATATGTATATACCTTTTTCTTATTAACAAGAAATCGTTTTTTTTATAGACGCCGAAAACGACGTACAAAATCTACATTCATTACACCATCCTCTTCATCATTATCATCATCATCATCATCATCACCACCACTCTTATCATCATCAACAGGGTCAAATTTGTCAACGTCAGTATATACGGCAACAACATCAGACAATGCATCATTATCATCGATATCGAAACTAGCAAAATTTATGAAATTATCTAATGAATCTCAAATACCAACAGAATCCGATATTTATTCGTCTACTTCTTCTTTTTCTTCCTCTTCTCCTTCATCTTCTTGTTCCATATCATCATTCACTTCTGCATCTGTCTCTGCTACCTCCTCCTCCGCTTCTTCTTCTTCTTCTATTTCATTTTCATCATCAAAAGAATCTTATTCATCAAGAATTATAAATGATCCAAGTATACAATATTCATCATTGTCTCAATGTTTCTATACACCACAGATGTATAAATCATCGTCATCATCAGTCAATATAATAGACGATTGTATATATTCTAAACATCGTTATTATTTAGATAATCCTTCGACAAATCCATTTTTACATAATAAATTCAATATAAATGATCAACATTCAACATTATGGCCTACTCATCATAATAATATACATGATTGTGAACATCAACAATTAACAATGCAGAACAATAATAATAATACTCCATTAAATATGGATTTATATACAACTAGTTTCAATGATAATAACATAATGAATCAAAATAAATTATTATCTAATAGAAATCAATTCGTCACTGAATATTATTCATCGACGACAACAGCGTCATCATCATCATCATCGTCGTCGTTGTCATCATCAACATTATCATCACCATTCAACAACTGTTTACATTCATCTACATCTAATAATAATGATAATAATACAAGTAATAGTAATGGTAATAATAATCATAATAATCTCTTCAATTGTCTGCCAAATTTTTCCATTCAATCAATAATTGGCAGTAATACTGTAGATAAACAAAGTATACAGTTAAATGTTCAATAATGAAAAGAAAAATCATTCAAAACTCGAACATACAAATACTACTATTAATACTACTGATAATGCTACTTTAAATGTTACTATTGTTCTTTATTCTTTTCTTTCTCTAATTGTTATCGTTAATTAACCTAGTTGTTTTAATGTTGTAATATGGAATATAATAACACCCTTTGTATTCCTTGTTTATATTTCATTCTGCTTACCTATATATGTATGTATGTAGGTAGGTAGATATTCAATCTGTGATCTATTAATGGTTTGTTCTTTAACAAAAAGAAAGAAAAGATTGAGCATCTTTCTTTCTTCTTTCTTCTTACTTCTTTTTTTGTTTCTTGACAATATTACTTGCAAAATTACAAAATAATTTGAGAAAACGTTGTAAATCTAAGATAATAAATCATTTATACCTATATGTAATCATTCTTCTTCTTCTTCTGCTGCTGCTTCTTCTTCTTCTTGATGAAAGCATTGTGTTCACTTATTCGTATGATACATTGCTTGCTTACTTACTTACGGCTGTTACTCCTCGTGGAGGTGCATAGACCGCCCATTAACACTCGTCATTCAACTCTGTCATGGGGCAATCCTTTCCAGGATATATACGATTATGATATGTAGCTATTGCTTAATTGTAACATATAGATGATAGGGTATAATGTTTAGTATAAGAATGAACCAATCACAATTTTGCAGTAATGGCCTTGGAGTTTTGGGCTCAACATAAAAATGAATGACTATAGCGGGAGATTCTTAATTTTGACCTTATGTTTGGTAGCTAGCGAAAATGATAAAGGAATTATTATTTATACTGTTATAATCCATGATGGGGGACATGTTTCATTCCATCATGTTATGGACATGTCATGTGTCGTATGATCCAACATGATGGAAGAAAAATTACAACCTAGAATAAGTCATACCTCTAATAATTCTATAATAGAAATGATCGTGAAACTATAATTTATGGACGGCCTTTGAGCGACGTTGAAGTGACCTTGAGAGTGGACATCTATTGATTAGGACTAAATGAGGGTTATAAAGCAGTTACAATTCTTATTTACACTTGATGGTTAAGGTTAAAAATTAGATTTAGGGTTTTCATCACTAACTGACATCAGCTATAGTACCAAAACTCTGTTTAGCCAAATGTATGGATGAATTTCGCGCCAAAATTCGTGACTCGTTACCTTATATCTCATTGGTTACAGTCTCGTCGAAATTATTCCAAAATATCTTTAACTGTGTGAATAAATAGATGAAAACACCGCCGTAATTACTGACTATGATACATTTAGATGATTTGACAAAGTGGAGCATATCCCCAGTGGAAGCGGGTTATCGATTTCAGGCTATGTGTTTCTAGTTTTGATTTCCAGGTCGTTTTTATCTAAGTCTTGTATTATTCCTGATTGTCGTCGATTACTTTCTTTATTAAATGTATGTGCATTTGCTAGGTCGTCGGCTCACATTTTCTTTTGTACCTCTTTTTTCAAGCTCTCCTCACTTACGTTACTCTGTAAACTTCTTTCGTATACAAAGTACTTTCTAGATAGATACGAACCACTACAATGACTTACACATTTTTTTCTTCGCTTATAATAAGCTCGCGAGAACACTTACAAAAAGCACAGCTTTATTCATTAGCATATATTTTGTATACAGTTAGGAATCCCTACGTCATTTATGCAAAGAAACAATAAATCTGTCTTCAAAATACATTCGAATTGTAATTAGTTAACAATCATGCACTCATGAATGCTTTTCGATAGTCATCATTTTCAATGACGAGTCTTGTCAAAGGGTATACAAGGAACACAGTGTATGAACTGCTTCTCTTTGAGATTTCCATTATTTAGCATCATGACAGATTGTAAGCCATTCAGAATATCTCGCGAGTTTAAAATGGGAATATTGAATACAATATTTGTACAGTTGGAAATTACATGAAAAGATTTGATCAAGTCATCGTGTCTCAATATACTCTCTGTCAAAAAACGGCTCTATGGATCAATGAAATTTAGTTACAAAATATCAGAAGGGGATTTTGTGAATATTATAGTAAATTTGATGGTTGAAATCATAAGTCAATTGAAGCAACACCACCTTGGAACACGTGAAAGCAAACAAAAATGACAATCTTAAATTGTATGATCCATCCACGAAGTTCGACAATAACACCATTGGATACCGTTCGACTCAATGTTTTAGAGGTTTAACGTTCGCGCGCAAGACTAATAGGTCCTGAGTCTGAATCCCGCAGACAAGATCGTAGCTGAGCACTGTTAGGGAGTCCCACACTCGGATGAAATAGCCGTCCAGTGCTTCTAGGTTTTCCACAGTGGTCTAGCATTAATCAACTCATGAATTCAACTACTGAATAGAACAATTGTTATCTTTGTTTGGCTAAAGGATTTATTCATTTATTTGACTCACCAGTTGAACTTTTCTTTGTGTCTACAAGAAAATTTACTCTTTAAGTATTAAAATGATCAAATTGTATTAGATAGTTAGGATTGTATTATACCGATCTAAATTGAATAATCATTGAAAATCTAGAAGCATTAAACGGTCATTCCTTCCACATATTAAATTTTCCAGTAATTCATACCAACGACCCTGAGTGTGAACTTTTAACCTCTAAGCTACGGAGTAGTGACACAAACGTTTTCAAAGCTGAAGTTCTTAAATTCATTCCTTTATGTAGGTAGAGTGTCTTTACACATTTATGTCTCAAGGTAAACTTTAGGCAAGTTTTTATTGTATTAACCACTTTCAGTCATTTTCCGATCATTTATTAGATAACTTCTTCATATTAGAGTGTTATTCTAAACGCTAATCTTTACTACATTCGTTTTGTTTTTCATATCTTTTATGCTATAAGACCCTCTTCATACTAGATAGTTGAAGAAAACTCCAGGCATTTGAAATGAAATCTATATTAAACAATATATATAACTAAAATTATGGATAACTACATCTTGTTCAACATTATTTCTGTCTTTGAAAACTAAATGCCCATTTCAATGGTTGAGGTCATGAGTTAATTGAAGCTAGGCCACCATGGAAAACCTGGAAGCATTAGACGACTATTTCGTCTTATTATGGGACTTCCCATTGCTTTTAAGTTTTCCACAGTGATCTAGCTTTAATTGATTCATAATCTCAACCATTGAAATGACAACAATATCCACAAACCCCCTTTCTGATATGAATACCTACTGTAGAGAAAAAAAAAAGAAAAGAAAACAAATAAATTTAAGAAACAATTCTCATAAGTATAGACATCAGGAAAATGTTTGTACATGTGTAACTTGTATATGGGCAGTCCCTATATGATCTGGGTTATTATTATTTTTTTTTTTGCTTTTTACTTCTCTATATCATTATCATTATAATAACCAATGTAACTATGATTTTATTGAGGTGAGGGTGGGGATGGGGTGGGGGGTGGGGTAGTAAAATAAGGATAAATGATTTATTACATTATACCCAATATGAAGGGTAACCAATTAATTTCCTCAGATATAATGGGGTTTTTAATAAATAATAATAATAATAATAATAATAATAAATACATAGACAATAATAGTAATAATATTCATAGGAATTACCTTCAAGTTTTGTATTCAGTCGTCAGTTTAGGTGTAAATTTATGTATTCAGTAGTTGATCATTTGGTTGTGTTGTTTGTATGTTCTAATGTAAATAAATAAATAAATAGATCAACTATATATATATATATACATGGATATTTACATAGATTATAATAGAATATATATATTGTTATAACATATGGAGACATTTAAATGGGAACCAATTTTAAAGGGGGGTGGGTGGGGACTAGAAAATGTATGTTTGTTTTCCTGGGTTTTTTTGTTTTGTTTTTTTTGCGACAATTATGATAAATATTATTGATTTATGTGTATCTATTCAAGTAAAAATAAATGATAACTCATAAATCTCTAAGTAAACAACAACAAAAAAAGAAGAGAAAAACAAAGAAAGAAAGAGACTCATTTTGAGAGGGGGAGGTTAGATAGAAGATGAATGAAGGTGAATGTTTGAAAATGTAAGTTAAATCTTGATTCAGATATTTGAAATTAGTATCATAAGATCAGTTTTGAACAAGTGTTTGATCCTAGTTTTAAAGGGAATGTTTAGCAGTATACACTCATTGACCTTAAATGCAATGGTACGGCTGAGAGTGAAGGAGAGTCATCTCTCCATCTTGAAATGCTTTCACATGACCAAGTGCATAAAACTACTGTCAAGGAAGTCTTACTAACTGACTTCTGATGGCATTACTGATGTTTATGAAATTGAGAGGATAAAAAACAAATGTCCGACGCTTTTACCAGGTTGGTAGATATGGAGAGTTCATCTAGGACAGTTAGAAAACCCTGATTACAAATCCAGTATCCTGAAGGAACAAATGGCATACGAAATAATCGTTGGTCACCGTCTACCATGGAACTGCATCTCCCAACGTTTCTCCACTACGTTGTGGATCAGACATTCAGGTCGAAGGCTCTGGGTGTGGTCCCCTAAGAAAACCATCTGCTTCATTCTGGGCACCCGGGCAGTATCCCAGCCCTCACACAAACCGAATGATTTATGTGGCGCATATCTATTTGGTGCCTCATTGTACTAATGTTTATGTGTTTAAATAAACATTGTCATCGATATGGATTATACCTAGAGATATAAAAGCAATCGTATTACCACTTAGATCTCACACCTGTTACTTCTCGTGGAAGAGCATTGACCGTCAACCAACATTCTCCATTCAATTCTTTCCTGGACAATCCATTCCAATTGTTTCCAATTGTTATTCATTCTTTTAGTGTTAGCTTCCAATTCCCGGCTCATTATGTTCCTTGATCTTCCTCTTTTCCATTTCCTTTGAGAATTCGAAGTTGATGTTTACCTCATGGTGCAGTGTACTAGTCTTTGCAATGTATGTCCTATCCACCTTCAACGTCTTTTTCTAAATTACTTTTTACT